AAAGGAGAGCTGGAGAGAAACACAGATAAAGAGAATACAAGCGGGATTCTGATGGAGACGGGCTCTTTTTAACGTCACTGGAGGATGCAAGCGATTCGGCAGCAGCTTCAGGAAGCCACGTGCGCGCGAGACAAAAGGCCCGTCCCGCCGTCATTGTGTGGGGATCAATACAGCTGTAAGGACAAATCAAGCGGCTTGGAACGAGCCTGAATGGTTGCACATGCAAGAAGATTGCTGCCATTAGCATTGCCTTCTGCAAATAGCGACTGACAGCCAAATAAAGTGGGGTGAAAATAAACAAATAAGTGAAAAGATGAAATTATAATGTAAGCTTGACTCACGATGTAAAAGGAACCAAAGCAAGAAGAAGAAGAAGAAGCCAACTGGTCCACTATGCGTTTTTTTTTTACAGATCTCCTTCGCTTCGATTATCTTTTATTGCTCCTATTTATACTTTCTGAGCAAAGCCAACCAATAATATTTTAACAGAATGATTTCACTCTGTGAAGATGACCAGTCTTACATGTACAAAGTGTCTTAAAGGGACGAGGAAAAGATAAATGTTACTAACAGATGAATCACTACCTGAGTGATTACTAACATTAAAACACTTTATTTCTATTACATAGGAAATATTATACATATTAAATTACATATTACAAAGGTTGTACAAATGTTAGAATAAGCAAATTACACAATACATCAGCATATATCATTGTATTAAGTTAATATGCCTTACAGAAATGTGAACATTTGATAGAAGCAGCTAAATAAAAAGCTGTTTTTATTTTATTGACATGTTGGAGTAAAAGGTTTTAGGAGATATATTATAAAATATTAGGAGATATTCTATGAATGATAGATGAATAAACCCCTCGGTAAAGACCTTCAGAATATAGATAGCAAGGAAAGAAATGCATATATATATATATATATATATATATATATATATATATATATATATATAAATCTCGTAGGGTTAAATTGTTTATAGCTGTTCCAAACCACCACGCTATAGTAAAAACTGTGAATGTCAAGAAATACAATCACTCAACTAAATTATGAATGAAACAAAAGAACGCTGCGTGTCTTGTACTGTGCAGCGTGAACACAGCACTCTGCAGCAGTAAGACCCAATGCTTGTGACACCACGGGGAAGGCTCTTCATGCGTAAAGTACAAAGAGAAGCCTAGCTGTCACTAGAGTCCCATTATCGGCCCTCATCTGTGGGCGACCTCAATTTCTGCACGCCGGCGTTTATGCGAGACCTTTCCGGGGCTAATGGACGACACGGCGCCCGTCCGGGCGCGTCAGGATCACCGCCATCACCTTAACTCACACGTGGCGCTTTAACGGGAGGCGCAGGAAACGAGGACGGCGCCGTGCGTTTCATTCCACTGACCCTATGGAGAATGACGGCTGAGGGCAAATAAAAAAAGACACTCTTGCGTCGGCGTACCTCCTGTTTTTAGAAAAGTGGGATTGTGTATCGAAAAAACATCTGCTGGGAATCTGTCCTGACGTCCAACACTAGGAGGACACATTTATTCCACCTTGTGGAAAACAGAAACCTCTTTGTCGTTGTGTCCCAGCATCACTAATCCAGTTCCTTCTCACTGGGAGGAAAAGTAGGTTATACATTCTTAGTCGGTTCCGGTCCATTTTCATCCAGCTTTGTGGCTCGCTCAAAATCTGCTGGGCTACGTTCCTCCAGAAAGCCGCATCAATGGGACGGCAAGCGGTGTGACGTGACTGAAGGCTGAACAACAAGTGGCTCGATCAGACGCGTTGGCCTGCGTGCCAAAATCAGAGAGCGTTCAACAGGAGGACCAAGGTCAAAGGTTGTCCCTGTTGCTGCCTTATAGACTGCAGGGCAACATACATCCTCACTGCCACTGCACAGTCACAACCTCAGAAAGCACTCAGATCTGTAGACATTACAAAACAGAGCGTGGGAAGGGCCTGTTTAAAGACAAATTAGAATACACATCTTGATGATCAATCGCCTGCAGGTCTGTGTTTGAAGAGAAACTGGGAAGCGGGTGGAGTTTTCCCGTGGAGTCGCTCCATCTGCTTCATCAGCATCAGTTACACACAGAGCACTCATGTTGTGGATGCAGATCAGGCACGCTGGCATTTGTCAGAGATCTCGAGGGTGCTGAGTGAAGCGTAGCGCTCCATCAGCCAAGCCGGACCCCTGAGGTGTCCCTCCTCCCTGCCTGACTGAAAAGGCTGCGGATCAAAGCTCCCAAACCGCTACATAGGCAAGACGGCGGCAGATACACCCGCCTCGGGCCCAACGGGAATTTGGTAAACGGAGCGGAAAGCTTAAAAGTTTTTAAGCAACTGGAGTGAAATAACCGGTTAAAGTTTTAGGTGCATTATACTTTTTCAAATATTTTAAATTTTCGTCAATAAAAATCATGGAAATAAAACAACTCTCATAATAGTCATTAAGTAATATGATTATTGAACTGCCCGTAGTATTTGAGTCCGTCAATCAGCTAGTCTGGTTCCTCAAATGTGTCCTACTCACCAGCTTAAAGGTGACACGAAACAAATAAACATCACACAGATGTTGCAGATGTAAAAAAGATAATGGTGCGGTGATTCAATCCCACGTTGGCTCGGGCGGGGCGATTACTATCGGGGGGGCATCTGGATCCCAGCTGTGATTGTGTCCCAGGCAGAGCTGGAGCTGTGCAGACGGTGGTGAATTACTCCATCAGCACCACAGATAAGCAGAGCAGAGAAAGACACTTTAACGAGCAGTAATGAAAAACAACACGTACGTCTTAGTACACGTACGAGCCTCGATTTCATCTTGTCTCTTTAATCTTCTGTTTTTTTCCAATAATCCAACTCTTACTGCGGAATAGTTATCTTCCTTCCTCATTTCCCTTTCCGATCGCAGCGATGAGAGCGAAGTCAAGGGCTTGAAAGCCGTCAGCGGCGGCAGGCAGCGCCACAGCAAGGAGCCCCCCCCCCCCGCCATCTGTCTCATTGACCTGGGTCAACAGCGGGCCGGCCTGGATGAGAGCGTAGGTCTGTGTTTAAAAAGGCAGATACGGCGTGCACTAAATCACCTACATGTAAAGAGGATTGTAAGGCGGAAGCTGCAGAGAGAGCGAGACGCAAACAAAACAGCATTGATCCGAGTCCGTGCAGCCGTGCGTGAAAGTGAGAGTTTTCTGTCGAGGTCGCGGTTCGGTGAGGCGCAGCACAGATTGAGAATTGTCCACTGACATTACGGCGGAGGATGTGAGGACGCTGACAGCACGCGTCTGTGACAGGAAGCGCTGAGGTTAAAGAAGGGACAAAAGCAAACACACCGACTCATGTTCAAGCCACGTTTCATGTTGTTGATTTTTTAACCAAGTTCATTGCTATATAACTGCTGTGCCCCTGTTTGTTGGTGGGGGTGGGGGGGCTGGAGAGATGTCTGCCTTCTCTCCATTCTAATAGAACTGTACGGCGCCGAATGGCGTGAGGCCGACCCGGGTGTCTTATCCCGATCCATTTACATGTGCACTTAGGTAGTTAAACAATGGTTTGTCTCAGTGGACAGAGAGTCTCTGACCTCTCTAACAGAGACAGGTGTTCTGGGTAAACAGATGTTCAGGATAGTATATCCCAACAGACTCATGGTGTAAACAAAGTGTTCCCTCCCGTCTCCTACAATCATGAATGACAGTTCCATCGCTCTCTTTGATTGGACACACTGCTCCCGCTTGCCAGCATTTCATAGCCTTTCTCATTAATATATTGTGCCTTTTGATGCACGCGGTTAGGTGAGAAGGTTTATACCCATGTAAATATGAGTTGTAGCTCAGCAGCACAAAGACTGAGAGTCTAGCCGAGCTCCATAGTGTCAGGCAGGGAGGAGGAGGACTCGGACGCAGAGGGTTCAGCTGATATTGCTTTTATTAATAACAAGGAAAAAACTCAAAATCTCTCTTAATGAGGAAAAAAGGTTGCGATCAAAGTTCAAAAGGAAAAAACTCAAAATCTCTCTTAATGAGGAAAAAGGTTGAGATCAAAATTCAAAAGGCAAAAACTCAAAATCTCTCTTAAACGAGGAAACGTAACAGGGATCAAAAGGACGTGACAAACGTTATCGGACTTGACTAGACTCGTGACGTGAGGGCTGGTGTGCAGGGCAAAACAACAAGACACACTGGCACAGGACAAGGGGCGACGCAGACTATAAGTACCCATGAGGGAGTTGTGGGAACAGGTGGACACAATCAGGAATCAGGGGAGACAATCAGACTGGTGACACATGAGGAAGGGCAAGGGACCTGAAACGAGAGGGAGTTAGTTTCCAAAATAAAACAGGAAGTCAAAAAACAACTGGAGACAGGACAAAAACGCAACTTGACATACAGGTGTGACATTACCCCCCCCTCAAGGCCGAATACCAGGCGGCCTTGGAATGTCCGGGTGTGCTCTATAAAAATCTCGAATGAGATCCGGGTCCACTATGAAGCTAGACGAGACCCATTGTCGTTCCTCTGGGCCGTAGCCCTCCCAGTCCACGAGGAACTGCCTGCCCCGTCCCCGCTTACGTACCGCCAGCAGTTTCCTCACCGTGTAGACCGGCCCCCCCTCGACCATTCGAGGGGGTGGGGGTGGCTTGGGGTTTGGCACCATTGCGCTCTCCTTCGCTGGTTTGATTTTGCTGACATGAAAAGTTGGGTGTACCCTCAGGGACCGGGGCAGACGGAGGTGCACAGCTGCTGGATTGATAATCCTCGAGATGGGGAACGGGCCGACAAAGCGAGGGGCCAGCTTTCGTGATTCGACC